CTGCTCCCTGCTCGTATGCCTGTCTGCTCCAGGCACCACTGAGCTGCTGCTGGTGGCAACCATCAAAAAATTCTTTTTCTATTCAGCCCAAAAGTATATGAGGCTGTGGGCCAGAAAACAGACAAAATGAGGCATTTTCAGGCACAAATATTGCCATACATACAATGTAACAACTGATCAGTAATACACACACAGAGGGTTACCTTAGATAGGTAATGTGACACAGCATGCTACCATCATGCTCCCGACATCTCATTCTCCCCCCCCTTATTTTCAATAATAGGGGGAAATGAAATACTTTTTCTTCCCTTGTATCCTGGTGCTGTTGTGCTTTCTGGCTTCCTGCAGAGCACCACAATCACTGCACAAATCCTGCTTAGAGTATTCCATTTTTTCTCCTTGTGCAGGGCTTGTGGCGCACAGCAGGCCTCTGCGATACGGCCGGCATTATCCACACTTTATTACAAATGGTATTACAGGGAGGACCATCTGCTCGTCAGCTGCCCAAATGGGCATTCGCCTGCCCTCCTGCACCCCTTCAGTGTGTGATTCAGCCTCTCCCTGGCAGGCGCTCTCCCACCAGAGGTCTTCCTGAGTGAGGGGATGCGAGGATGCAGCACATCTTACGAAACAGTGGCGGGTACAGACACCTCTTTGAGATCTCTGCTCTTAGGAGGAATAAATCCCAGCTTATCTTCAAAATGGAGGTGACATATAGGACCAGAAGGTAACTGCCTGGCTCAGAGATCAACCTCGCGCTATTCCAAGCAACTGCATCGGTGCTCAGATGGAAAGGTCAGGTCCAACATCCGAGCTGACATCACACATAGCAGGCATGCACATCACTGATGATGTCACTGTGTTCTGGGAAGCCCATTCACCCAAAGCTCTATGCCATTTCAGAGATGTTTCCACCCACCATCATCCACAGGTGAGCCAACAGAGCACCTGCCAGTCACAGCTGTACTACCTCAGCACTGGGTTTCTCTCTGCGAACTAAGCCACCAACCTGTAAAAATCCCCTAAGTGACTCGTTTCAGGACTGCCCCAATGTACCCGCATGTCCGTACTGGACAGCCTGGACCACAGCCACATGCTCTGAAAAACGTTTAATAATGTAACTGTGGCAGCTAAGCCACCTTCCAGAATGCCTAATTAAAGGAGGCCTTAACATGAGTTTGGGTTTTTGTGTAAAAAATTCTGGGAGGCCAGTGCTACTTGTTAGAGGCGTCTCTTTCTCACTCTCTGCATCCTTGACTTCCCACAAGAGCGATGTTTTACTAGAATAACAAACCTGAGTGCGAGAATCAGATGCAACTTGGGGATGGAGGAGTTCCAGTCCACAGGGATTATCTTTTTTATTTGACTGTCAACAAAATCTTCATATCCAAAATGCAAATTATCAAAATATTTCCATCAGAGAGAAACATCTGCAATTTGTGATTCATTTTTGTGAAGTATCCTGTTACTACTCTAAAGGAATTAAGGGTACCTATCAAAAAATAGCTTCAAGGATGGCAAAAATTTAAAGCAGGATTAAACAACATGCAATTTAGCAATACAATAGCTGTAGCTGTCATTACCAGGCCGAAAAAAACGACATCACCATATACAAGGAGGACAAAGCAATATGCCTGCCAGACCAAACAGTCACCCATCGTTGCACTGCAGTCTTATCTGAAGACAAACATCTGGAAAAAAAATCTGGCTACAGATCACACATACATACTGCAGAACTTGCAAGTGAAAGCACGGGGAGAGAAAAATAGGCTAAAAGCGGGATATTCCCTGAGCTAAGCAACATTTGCTCGCCTGTATTCTAGGAGATGGTGAAATTTTCCCCAGCTTTCCAATGGGAACTGGAAACACACCATCCTTTATTCCTTAACCTCTCACGAGGAAGTCACACAGGCTAAGGGTTTGCCGAGCAAATACATTTTTTTCTAGTCAAGATAGTTTGATCTTGATATTGGCTCCCTCTCTGTCCACAGCACATCGGATGAAGACATCTTAGTTGTTAGTTTGACGCACTTCACCCTGTCCTTATTAGGCACACACTCCCCCCCGCCCCCCCAAGTCCTTGGTTTGAGATACTTGCCGTCACCTGGGTGTAAATATATCCAGTGTTACCTTCCTGACTATCTCATGCTTTAAGCATTTGTCTGGGAGGAGGTAGGCAGAAGGAATTTTAAAAGTCTCGGCTTCAGCCTTCTTCCTCTCATTTTAAGGGCAGCAAGCTCCTGTGTACAAGGTGCCTAAGAGTTGACCCTGAACGTCCCTGCCAGCAGCGTTTGGGAAGGGCAGAGCACTGCAGGTCCTGTTGCCTCACTGCAACCCTCCCTCTGAGAAGGAAGCGAGTATTCACACCTCATATTCATGGACACCCCAGCTTCTCTCCTGTCACCACCACAACACTGACACATTCAACTTCATCTACCTAACGGTACCTCACTTAAGACGGCTATTGCAGCCGTTAAAGTGAACGGAGAGGGCACACGTAAAACTTCCGCCCATTCACCATCTGTAATGAAGAATTCATCTCCACATACTAGGAGGGACTACTTTTTAGAGGCATCTCCCCCCAGTAATGAAGCAAGCACAGATGGCTAGATAAGTGACTTAATTTTAAAGCAGCAGATTAGGAGAGAGTCCCAGGGTAAGCAGTGGTTCAATACCTGGCTTCTAGAACTAACCTGACCACCAGTTCACTTCATAGCTCACTGAATTTTGTCAGAGACTAACGTTTGAAAATTACAACTGTGTTTTGATGGCCAGTTATGTCAGCTTTATTATAAATGAATGTGTTAAGGATGGACCTTAAAGAGCTTCTTTGAAGACTCATTCTAAAACGGCAACATTAATATATGTGATCTTTTACAGGCCCAAGACTATAGCTGACTGGGAGGCTTAATGCCTGGAAAATGCATGTCACAGTCTTAATGCTGTAAGCTTTAACTGGCACTTTTGATGTTCTTTGAGGGGAAAAAAAATAAATCCGTTCTCACAGTAGAAAAATGCAGAGAGATGCTGAATATTTCTGAAGAAAATATGTGTGCTCAAAGTTATTCCAAAGGATGGGAGGCCAATATCTGGGCTGCCCCATGACTATAGAAGCCAGTGAGTAACTTCAGCCTGTTCTGAAAAGGCGTCAAGGGGAGAAGAATTTCCAAGATAATTTAATTTCTCCTGAGCAATGTGAACATCAGTGGCTGGGGAAGAGGTCCAAGTAATGCCCCCAGGGGGGAAAGATGGGCAGAAAGATGCCCCATCCCTTGCCTGGTGGAGATAATGTTGATCAGCAAGGGAATGTGGAGAAAGACACTGGACCTACAGGAGGTGCAAGAAGCCCATACAAGACAGGACTTTATCAGTTCTGCTCTTCACAGCGCTTGTTTTAAAGAGCACGCTTTTCTCTAATTTTGTAATTACGATTCAATTTCTAGTGTGCCACCCTTTCTGCAGCAACAGTCCTTGAGAAGGGTACACACCACTACCCCCTACCACCAGTCTCCAAGATGAAAGGGGGCACAGGCGTACCAACATCAGAATGCAGACTGCACATCTCAGCTGGTCTGACACCAACCACCCGCTAAGCAGAGGTATTCTCACATTGCCTGTTACAGAAGTATGAAAGTGACCACAAATTTTTGGTTTTGATCACCATCAGCACACAGAAACACCTCTCAAATCATTCCCTTATGCTTTGATATGCTTGATGCTATGGTTAGTGACTGATGAACAATTGCAAACCCCACAGAACTTCCAAACCCTCTTCTCTTACAAATGAATACACAGCTTTGCTATTTTCCTGACACTTCAGAACAAGGTGGTGTGGTCCTTTTTCAGTAACAATACCAAAATACATAACATACCTGTCACTACAGATCGCTGGAATTTGTGATCATTTATTGCAGTCAACTGAAAAAGTAGTTGTATTGGGTCGAGCTGCATAGTGCTGTGCTTTCTATTGGTATGTAGAAAGGGGTTGATAACACACCAGTGTTTTGGCTACTGCTGAGCAGTGCTCAAACAGCATCAAGGCTGCCTCTCCAACATTCCCCCCCCACCACCAGTGGGCTGGAAGGGGGCAAGACCTTGGGAGGGGATGTAGCCAAGACATCTGACCCAAACCAACCAAAGGGATATTCCATACCACACGATGTCAGCTCAGATACAAAAACTAAGGGACAAGGAAGAGGAGGGGGGGCATTTGTCTTTTATGATGTTTTGTCTTCCGGAGCAACACCCGTGCTCTCCCTGCCCGGCCTGCGGAAGAGGGGACCAACAGAGTGGCTTGGTGGCACCTGGCATCCAGCCAAGGTCAACCCACCACAGTAGTAAAGTTTTATAGTAACATCCTACTGTCATTTACAAACATCTGCTACTGTAAAGGGTAATTTTACTCTGATTTAACAATGTAATAACGCTTGCATTTTAACTTAGTAAAAGCAGCACTGAAATATATACCTTCCAAACAAGGCAATATACAGCAAACATTTTCTTTAACTGTAGAGATCAACTTTATACATTTTGTAATAATTACAGAGCAATTCTTTCAAGCAACAAAGGTTTCATGATTCTAATAATGTATCCATGCAAACCAGCAGAAACAAGTTTAACTTTAAAAAAGAAAACCTACTGCAAAAATACACCTTTTAAGTAAAGAAAACAAAACAGAGCAGCAAGCATCCTCCAGTACTACAGGAACTTGCTTACACACAATTTTCCTTTGTCCCCCAGAAATTTAGGAGAACAGAAAATGGGTACAACCCCCACTGCTTTGCACTGTTAGACTAACAGGAAGAGCTACAAAAATAGACTCAGTCCGTATTTATGATAAAAACATACCTGTGGCTAATCAAACAGCTAATGCCCCAAGTCATCGCTTTACCCCAATGCCGCAGCCCAGTGAACTGCTAATATCAATCATCCGGAAAGAGCAGGAAGGCAGCACTGGAAAAGTGCTGAAGCACTTCTTTCCTAACCGCAGACACTGCAAGAAAACAAACCAGACACGATCGTTTATGCCCTACAATATCATCATATCGGTTGTTGCATTCAAACCATGATTCGTTCTGACAGATGCCACAAGTGATTTTGCAGCACCACAGGACATTATTTTGGATTTAATTACTGAGGCACGGGACTTCCCTTTTTGGTAAACACCAGATTGCCAGACCACACAGAAAGGCCCCCTGGCATTCGCTCTTTGGCTGTTATGTGTTATTTTGCCCAAATGTTCAGTTTCTTATCTCTTACTGACACACTCCCTCACCAAATTAAGCAAATATTTGGTGGTTACTGGCGCTGCCCCGGGAGGTGGTAAAGAGGGCCTGGAGTGCCTCAGGACTGAAGCGGTATCCTGGGTTTCCTCAGCGCCTACTCCTTGACAGCTATTTACGCCGGTTAGCAAGGGCCTTTCTATTTTTTGAAAGAAAGCAAAATCCCTTTGTGTGGCTCCCTGTCTTGTTGGTACAGACAGTGCTCTCAGAAGCAGCTCCCAAATCCAGGTGCTCCACGGGTGCAGGCAGGGAGTGCCTAGGACCCGCCTGAGCTCTGGCAAAAACGACTGCCCATGGCTCCCACAGTGGCAGCCATCACCCACACCATGGAAGCAGAGAGGCAGGAGCCTGGACAGCCCTTGGGTCAGCCCTTGATCACAGAGCAGGGGGAGGCTGAAGGTAACTAACGGCAACATAAAGAAAACCACGGAAAAGCGAGACTGGTTCTTTATATGCTAAACCAAAAAGGCGTTATTCTGTGGGGCCGCAGAGGACTGCAGCTGCACTCTATGCGGAAGGCAGCGATTCGAATGGAAAATGAGGAATGCCAAGAAGAGGCACTAGGTAAGCATTCACGGAGCACGTGCTGGGAAGGGTAAAACCTGGCAAGAGAAGATAACAAACTCATGCAACAATTCATGGAGAAGGAGAGTAAGATTTAGAATTCAAAAATAAAGTAACTGCGGTTGTGTTACTGCCTCTGCGCTAATTAAGATGTTAAGTCTATTAATAACGATGCAAAAAAGGCAGAGGTTGCCAATTAAAATTTCTGCCCCCTATTTGAAAAGGTGGTGTATGGTGTGCTGAAGTATTATTTTCCAACCCACTAGCAAGTGAAGAGGCAAAGCATTACTACTAAGTATAGAAGTATTTCAATAAACAGCATATATTAAAAGACAGCTGACCCAGCACATCTTCAGGTAACTGAAAATTTCAGTAGATTTTGGGAAAACGTAACTGCTGCACTACCGAAGGGTTAACTAGAATGAATCAGGTATAAATACAAAGCAGTTTTCCACTATCCAAACCGTGCTGCAGAATTTAAATTTACAGAAGATGAAAGGTTCAAAATGTAATTCCCACCAGTTAACATCTTTTGCGAAAAACAGGCTGTAGTAAACCTCGTTTTGCTCTTCGGTATTTGATAAACCTATCTTGAACAGACTTAGAACTTTTGTAGGGCATCGTCGCAGCGAGTCAAACATCTTAACTCACAACTAGGACGACACTCTGTCAGTAACATACACGCTGGGTATACAACCCGGCGGATTTCAGTGAGGAGCTTCCCCACCGGCTACAAGTCGGGCGAGTTTTAGGGAGGTTGTACGATTTGTGATAGGACTAACACGCTTTAAGGCTCTAATAAAATCATGCCAAAGGCAAAGCTGGGCAAAGCCACGTCTTCTTACAGAGCCGGAGTCACGCACATCAACAGAAACAGTAAAGCAAAGCTGACTTTCACTCAGGTACAACTTGCTTTGGCATAGTAGAAGGCAGAAACACCCACATAGGAAAAAGAAACATAGGCCATGAAACGGGAGACTGTCCTGGGCTCTCCAAGAAACTTCTGTTCAGTGTTAACACTCAGTGTGGTGCTGCAGCAAAGGCAGCCGATAGGAATTGTGAATATACAAGCTGGAGCGCATGGAATAAAAAAGAAGAGGTTGAAAAATCAGCAAAACACCAGGAGGGAAACACAAAGGGATGACAAAACCATTTACAGTTGAAGACTAGAGAAGATCCCTTTGTTTAGGCTATCAAAAAGAACTTGCACAGAAATACACAGAGCATATGTTCACACATTTTAGTAATGACAGCTTATTCTTATTAATAAATGCCCACACAAGTGGCAGATTTGCACTCTACTACAGCATTTACAAGTAGGCAAATTCTTGAATGCAGAACTGAGCTCGGTCTGACTGAAAGATACTTAGTGCAACGCCAGCTTAGTTTTAAGACCTGCAATACTAGATCATCTCATGTAACTAGTCCCTGCTGACGATAAGGTATCAGAAAGTAATGTTTTTTCCCCCCCAAGCAGCATTCAGCCGGTTTTCAAACAGAAGACGCCATTCATCAAGGAGAAAATAACGCGAATAGCACGCAATAAGCTAGGTTATGGAGAACGGTATTCTCAAACTGTGTACAGAGCACCCCTACCCTACTTGCACTCATGAGTTGACCCTCTCGCAATTAAGCCTCCACTTGCATCGTGCCATTTACAGCCCGTCAGTCTGAGATGGGGTAAAATGGGAGTCTCCGTCCCCTCCACGCAAACCGGGAAGCACCCCCAACCCACCCTACGGGAAACAGAGGGGATGGCTCTTGATTAAAGGGGCTTTCACCAATGAACTGCCGTGCTAACCACCACCATCGGCCAAGTACTGATCTTCTACAAGGTGGCCATGCTTTTGATGAGGGTGTCTGGGTTCACGAACTGCAAAGCTCTTTCAGCACTTCTAAGACACTATATAAATGGTTAAACACATACAGAAATCCAAGCCCTTAGACATCTCGGTAAGATCCTGACTACCGATTTCACATCACTAAACCTGCAATTATACGTGCACAGTGTAAATGGCATTACAGATCAGGTGCAAGCTGAGCAAATAACAGCTCCAAAAACTGAGTTGCAGCATCGAGTTTATTTAGATATTATCTCTCTGAAAATTCATCACAAGCGTGACAGAAACAAGAAGCCTCACAACAAATCCAGGTGAGATTTTTCTGTACATTATATTTTTCAACAACTAGACATAATTTGTTAGCAATACAGATATATTTATACATTAAAAATCTATACAACGTCCTTTTCTCTCCCAGTCTCCAAAACGTGTAGGTTCAGGGCCTTTAGGTCCACCCCTCTCTTTTGTAGCAGGATTGATTCCATCAGGGAATTCTAAAATGACAGGGAAAGTTCATTAAAATGCCTGTAAAGTCGACAAATACAAAGATGTCACCATCTACAATGTTTGCCTCTTAGCTTCATTTTCAAATAAAAAAATCAATTCTCTTTTGTCTTTAAAGGCAACCTTGAGTTAAGCATTTCCCAGAGTCATACACCGGTAGTTTCAGAGAGTTTTGTGACTACAGCCAGGAATGTATTATCATATTCAGTTACGCAAATGAAAAAGCAACTCAATATCCAAAGGCACGAAAAAGCACCGCAGTTTCTTGTGACCTCATAGCGAGAACCAGCGTCACTCGGTGATGCTGTACACACACTCACTACATCTAAAGCACCAGGTTGTTCCCTGTGTTTATTTAGGTCTCTAAGCATTCAGGTTTTAATTTTAGAATTTTAGCCAAGATTTTATCATTATTCTTGTATTAAAACACCATGTTTTCACGGATGCTGGTATGTTTCTCAAGAAATAGCATGTTGGTGTTTATTGACGCCAGACTAGAGGTACTATAAAATCCAAAATAGCTAAATTAGACTCTTTACCTTCTAAATTTAACCTAAGCTCGCTAAGTCACTGTGATGCCCTTTCAGAGAAGGATACTCTTCCTAAGTGGGGTAGGAATGGGACTTTCAAGTCTCTCTGCTAAGTGATGTGCTACGCTTACACACAAGCAGTACTGCTACTACTCCCAGAACCCTACCAGCTTACGCCACCTACTCGAACACCATGCAGCTTTGCGCACCTCAGTCAACATCCCTATGCTACTTGGTGCTCCCTTACTCTGGGCCTCCTCTCAAGAGCAGTAATGCAGGCCACCCGTGCTGCTCAATGGCCATCCCACCAGGCACCGCCAAGCCATGAAGTACTTCTCTGCACAGCACCATCCGAGCCCAAGTGTTCTGTCATCCTGCGCTAGACTGTGGGGCTCCCTGACACTCACGATACCTTGCACATCCCCCTGCCATGCTGATTCTCCGCAGCCTCCCATATACACGTGTAGCTCGGGGGGTTCCCTCAGTCGTATGCCTAACTTAGCCCCGGTGGGCAAGACAAGTAACGAGGAGCAGGACTGAGAATGAGAAAAAACAACAGAAATCCCGGAGAGCAGGGAAAAAGGACAGTGATGGAAGGAGGCTCACGTAGCTACAGGCTATACAAACCAACATATTGGGATGCCTCTTCAAAAATTCATGCAGACGACAATAGGAAATGTCAGTATTTGAGTGCCCCTGGCAGTACAAGGAGCACAAATGCATCCAATATTATTTGGTAGAAGTAATCCCAATATCCAAGCAGTGCTGATGTGCTGACAGTGGATGCAGAAGCTCAGAAGATATCTCCATGACTGCTACGCAGCAGTGGGAATTCAAACTCTTATGTTTTTTCCTAATAACCACTGAGGACACAATTGGCAGTCAACATTCTAACTTTTGCTGATGTTATATGTAAAAAATACACAGGTACAACTAAATTTAAAGCCAGAAGAAACCTTGAGTTTTGCTCTAAACATGGAATACCCAAGCAAAAAGCAAAAGATAGTAATTACGCGTTTGTTTTAAATGAAGCAGTGATGGCATTTATTTTCTTGGGAATAAAAGGACAAGAATTAAATGGCTGCTTACACAGTAACTCCAACTCTGATGAGTCAGTTCTCAAGTGAGTCACAATCTGAAATTGCTTGCAGCCATTTTGGGTATAATATTAAAATTTTTCAGCCATTTTGTCATCTGAATATTCATAGTAATCTACTGATATATGAAGAAAGCTTGTCCTAGAGACCTCGAAATAGATAAACATGGGTTATCACTACTGGTAAACAGTAGCAGAACACCATACTGTGGTGAATAAGATAAAGCATGACTAGCACTTTTAGTTAAAGAGGACGGCTAATTAAAAAGAACGGAAAAAAAAGAGATTGTCTTTCTCCTGTCTGATAAGAAAGTGTATGTTTCTAGTGACTTCAGCAGTGATGTATCTGTGCTCCAATGTTGTCAGGTTCTCTAAATGTGGCCCCATTAAGGTCACTGCAACACAACACAAACAGCAGCTCATTAGGGTCTCCCTGGACCCCACTGAGTGGCTCAGTGAACTCAGTATCTGCTGTTGCTTTTCAAAACTCTACCGGCAAGACTAAGAGAAAGACTGACCATGAAATACAGCATGTGGGTGTCAGTCTCTTCTCCCAAGCAACAAGCGATAGAACGAGGGGAAACAGCCTCAAGTTGCGCCAGGGGAGGTTTAGATTGGATATTAGGAAAAATTTCTTCACCAAAAGGGTTGTTAAGCACTGGAACGGGCTGCCCAGGGAAGTGGTTGAGTCCTCATCCCTGGAAGTATTTAAAAGACGGGTAGACAAGGTGCTTAGGGACATGCTTTAGTGGTGGGTTTGGCAGTGTTAGATTAACGGTTGGACTTGATCTTAAAGGTCTTCTCCAACCTAAATGATTCTATGAATGAGAAATCTTTTGAGGACTAAGAAATAAAACAGGCTTTTTGGATGATAATAATAAGTAGCTGGTGCCCTTGTGAGTTTTACTACCACCATTTATAGCTGTACTGTAACAGACCAATAGCAGCTACGTTTCTCAGAATCACGGAACAGTTTATGGTGGAGGGCCCCTTTGGCAGACATCTGTCCCCAACACAGCTCAAAGCAAGGCTGATGTCACGCCAGGACATCCAGGCACGTTTGAGCATCTCCAAGAGGAGAGGGATCACAGATTCTCTAGGTGACTTGTTTCAATGTTTGACCACCCTTGTTTTGAAGACTTTTCCCCTCATACACCATTTACTCCAACTTGTTCCCACTGCCCCCACCTCTGTCCTTTTCAGAACCATTAAGCTTAGAAAGTGGTTCTGGAGAGCGCTGAATGCCTACCCCTCTTCTTAAATGAATATCAGCACTGCACCTCAGGGTCTTGCCTTTAAAACATGGCTTTCAATTTTGTAAAATGTGACTTACTTTCCAGGGGTTCCCTCTCTATACTGGACTCCTCTGGTTCATCAAATCGACCTACTGGTAACTTCGGTTTCTTAAGTGACTGCTTAGCAGGTTCGGATCTTCCTCCTGTCTTAGAGCTGGTGCTTCTCAGAGAGCTGCAAAGCAGTGATGACTCTATCAAACAAATGGACACACGTAGCATAAACGTGAGAGTTTAATACCGAGTAGCTCTATGACTGTTCAGAGTGCCTCTGAAAAACCCTCGCTTCAGAAACTAGGGAGCGAAGGACAGGAAAACAAACTCCAAATATTAGTTTAACATTCAAGTCACGAACACCTAAGAAATCAGCACAGATAATTATTTTTGGCCCCAGAAACATATGCAGGCAAAACTGTGTTAGTTGTGTAACTCAGTTCACATAAACAGTGTATTTTAAACTGCTTGAACTTATCGTCACAGTTATCTTCTTGTATTTTAGACTCTAAACAGTAATTATGCTAGCATAGACCAGTACATTCTGTTTTCCTGGAGGAGTCCTAACCTCCCCCAAGCAGCCTGCTGATTTCCAGGTCTTGGCTCATTTCCAACAGCTTTTGAGTCAGAAAAAGCTTCTGCTTTCCCAAAGGAAAGTTTTAAAAAATAAAATGTTGTTCCCTTAGTAACAGGTTTTTCCAGAATGTTGGTAGAGAATAGCTGGGCTTCCCTTACGATGGTAAAGTAATTCAGCTGGTAGTCCAAAGCAGGACAAACTCTGAGCACATTTAAGTTCAACTATATAACTGCATGCAAATGCTTTAATTAAAAGCATTAACTTGTTTCCCTTAAAGTCCTAACTTTTTTAAAAAATAAATGTAGGTGAAAGCCTATTAATATCCCTATCTAAGTCCTTTCAAGTAGTATAAAAATGGAGATGCACAGATACCGTAAGTCATAAATAATTCAAGAGTCCTAAAACAAGTCAAAAATATTTCTGCATTTGGTTAAAAAGCTGAATCTCCACAGTAAGCATAAACTACCCTCTAAAAATATGTTAGCTATGGACGCATGCATAAAGCAGCTCTGACTTTTCTTAAAGAGGAGGATTCAAACAGAAATCCTCCCTGTACCAGACTGGGTGCAAAGCACTTGAATGAACTATTATTCTACCTTGCTAAAGAGATCGCATCAGGAAACCTTCTCAAGCAGCATGGATTTAACTCAGCTATATATACACCAACGAACAATCTCCTTGTATTCCCAGAATGAGCATATTCATTCATCCTAAAACACCACACCCTTAACATTAAGCCCTGCAGTCACGTGAACTGTATTATGCCTGCCAACTGTTGCCAACGGCCCAAAGAAATATTTTATTTTTCACTTTAAGCGTGACGTAATGGGCTATCAACAGTGAAGAATCTAATCCTTCTGCATACACTGGATCTTTCTACTCCTGCCAAGCATCTTGTAATTCTTCACCAAGCTGAAAGAGAAGCTAGCTGGAAAATTAAATTAAAGCTGATATTCTAGTCCAAGTTCAAATAAAAGTCAGATTAAGGTACTAATATGAAATTATCTCAGCAGAGAAGAGGCAAAATCCATTTTCCCATTTACAATACTTGGTATTGTTGATCAAAATACATACTTCTTGACTCAGAGGTGACAGAGGTTCAACATTTAAGTATCTCTGAAAAATATTAGATGAACAATCAACTCTATCAGTAAACCACATTCTACAAACTGGTCTTTGACCCTCTCATCCTTTAATGGGCAGTCACAAAGCCATCCAATTTATGAATTATATAGCTGAATTTGAAAAGTTGAAAATCCCAAGTCTTTCAAGTTACTACACAGCCAATGTCTGCAATAACCAGACTTTTGCAAGGGCCCACAGGTTGCAAGTTATCATAACAATGCCATTCATGCAGCGGGAACTAGGCACTCATCAGGATGCTCGGGGGAGACGGGAGCATAAGCCAAATCTTGCCATGAACCTAATGGCCAAATGGAGCCTAGGTGGGCCCATGGACATCTAACAACAATTTTTTCCAGTTCTTCTATTAACATATACTGTACTGGCCTGTTTCAGGAATATTGTATCAACAGCATCATAGAAATCTCAACTTTTGATGGAGAAGGAAGCGCTCTGACCTGCAGCCCTACAGAACAGCCAAAGTTGAGCGTGGATGGGGGACAGACTCCCTCAACAGGCTACCTGATTTGTCCTCCAGCCTAGGTTTCTCCATGAACAAATTACCCGAATTCCCTCATACAAAGGGCACAGACCAAAAACTTCCAAGGCCACAGGAAGTTCCCTCCGCCTCTTCTACAAATATTAAACCACAGCTTAATATTTTACGGCCGTTTCAAAGTTTGGAGCAAGGATAGGGA